AGAGGGAAGTGGGGGCCTAAACTCTGCAGGGCCTCTCTGGCCTGGGGAGGGACTTTGTTCATTGTTCTTAGAGCTCTGGGAAACCATTGCAGGGTTTGCTGCTGGGGCTGACATGACCAGGTGGAATCCTGACTGGAGGGACAAAGTGGATGTGGGGAGACCAGAGAGGAGGCAGTTGCGGTATCCAGGCAGGGCTAGGTATTTGGTTTAGGGGATGCTGACAGGGTTGGAGATGAGTGAGCAGAACTGAGATGCGTAGGAGGCAGACTTGGGAAGGACTGTTCTGTGAAGGGCGATAGGTGGGGGTCTGACTCTGACTTGTGTGGCAGGACACATGATGATGCCCTCCACTGACTGGATACACAGGAAGAGTACTTAGTTGGCTACTTTGGGAGAGGGTAGGGGAAGAGAGATAATTTGTTTTTTAGCATGTTGAGTTTTACCTGGGAATGGGGTTGTGGGGGAAAGCTGTAGTCTCCTGGCGGCTAGTGTCCATCTCTCAGCTCCCACCATGGGAATCTTCTTTCCTCTGGGGAATCTCAGACCCTCCACTTGTAAGTCAGCCTGTATTGCTGCGCCTGGTCAGATCAGTGCACCAGGTTTTGAGGGCCACTTTGTGCAGCCCTGTCCTAGGCACTTACACATTATGCCATGAGACTACTCATGAATCATTGATCATGCAAGATGATGGGGCATAGAGGCTCTGGTACGTGTAATTGGCCTTCAGAGAAGGGAGACATGAGCCTGGGGATTTGAGGATCCTTGTGCTGTAAGCAGCCAAGATGCCATTCTTGTTGCAAGTACTTACCTTGGCAGTTGTCTTTATTAACTAATTAGTTTCTGAGACCAGGGAGATGTGACAGAATAGCAAATATTTTTAAGGGTAGTTGTAGACATTTTGGTAACTTTGGAGGTCAGGGAAAGGTATTAGATACAATGAAAATAAATATAGTTGAAAGGCTACCTAGACTCCGTCATTATGTGGGTGTTCATATGCATGTATGTTTGTGTGTATGTCAAGTTGTGCAAAAACAGGAAATGGCTCAACTTGTATTATTGGTAAAACCTGAGTAAATTAAGAACAAAAAGGGAATGGCTTGACTTGCAGTTCAATAGTACAATTTGTATAAATTAAGGTAGATTCCAACTTTAAAAAAATTGTGATAAACCTTGTCTTTCTGTACAAAAAAAAAAAAAAAAAAGAAAGAAAGAAAGAAAGATTATTCTTGGCTTAAATTCTCTTAAGCTCTGTGCAGATGAATGTCTGCTGTGGGAGGGCATGGTGCCTCCAGGAAGGGAAAGGTGCTCTCCTCTGGTCCTCTGGGGAGCAGACAGCTTTGGGAGCAGCCTCCTAAGGCCAGGCTTCTAGCTGCTTCCATATCCTTACCCACCTGGTCTCCTCACTCAGAGGCAGAGACTACTTACTCTATAAAGCAGATACTTGTCCTCCCTGGAGGCTGCCAGACGTGTCTTCTCTCACTCTGGCCAGCATTCTGCCTTCTAGCAACAGTAAATATTATCGCTCTACTTGGCTCTTAGCTATGTCCTGCACTGCCTGAACACCAAACAGTGGGGTTATATGAGCAGGGTGCCGTGACACTTGGCATGCATCCAGCACCAGCACCAGCCTCCCCCTCTACCCTCCTCTTATTGGAATGAACATGCTGGATTCCTGTGTGCATCAGAGGGAAGGCTCCAGAAATAGGTCTCTGTGCAGCTGCATATCCAAGGTGATCACTTGATAGGATGCTGTTCGGGTTGAAGTAGACAAGAAGCACTGCCTTTTTAATTCCCTCTTCATTGTCCCAAGTAACAGAGAATTTATCTTTTAAATTCTAAAAAAAAAACCCAACCTGAATTTTTAAAATGATTTTAGAGTGAGAGAAAGAAAGGGGGAGAAGAGAGAGAGAGAGAGAGAGAGAGAGAGAGAGAGAGAGAGAGAGAGAGAGAGATCGAGCGATTTTTTATTCCACCTATTTATGCATTCATTGGTTGCTTCTTTTATGTGCCCTGACCAGGGATCAAACCTGCAACTTTGGTGTATAATTACAGGTAGTGATGATTACCTTCCCTGGATCCTGTTATTGTGGGATTTATATTGTATATCAGGGAAGAAAAGCCTAGCTTTGCCTAGAACTCAAGCTTACAGAACAGAATGCTTATACTAGTACAGTGTGTCTCACTGGATCTCCTGACAGCCGGTGGGTAAGGTAGGGTTGACAACTGTCAGATGAAATGATTGAGACTTTATGAGTAATCCTGGGTTAGTTACATATCTGGTACATGATGTAGCTGAAACTTGAACTCAGGAGACAGTGGAGGTTGGGGTGAGGGCTAGGGGTTGGGGAAGGGATTGTTCGGCATATAATCAGAACCCCGTGATGTGCAAGTAGAGAAGGGAGGTCCTTCAAAGCAATGAGATGCTGTCCCAGAGTCAGGGGAGCAGATGCCAAACAAGCAAAACAACAGGTGCCCACTGCACCTTTAAAAAATATTTCTCTCCCAAGCGTGAGTCATTCAAGCCCATGGTGAGTTCCCTTTCAGTTTCCAATAATTGGGATTCTCATTCTACCCAGCTGTCCTCACTGGCCTACAGCCCAGTATTGACTCCATACTCATTACCTAATCTTCCATCAGGGGGACCGGCCTCGTTATCAGCTTTGTGGGGCCCACCTTGCTTCTCAGGTTTGTGCTGTGGCGCGGTGTGCTGTGTGCCCCGGACAATGAAATCAAGGTTACCTTCTGGTCATAAGCTAACAGGCCCTGCTCTTGGCCCTCCTGCGAAAGGCCCCACAAAGGCCCCGTTGTGCAGAACCAGCCACTTCTTGATCCTCGTTGGCAGCTGCCCCTGGCAGCCCCGCTCTTCAGGTGCGTGCTGGGAGCTTTCCCCAGCGTGGCTTGCATTTCGCCTTTTTTCCACTTTGATGAGAAGATTGTCCAGTTTGAGTCTTTCTTGCCTTACTGGTGGGAGGTGCAGGAGGATTTTTAGTGTGCTTTCTGATCCGGAGGGCTTTGTCTTCCACTCTGAAAGGTTATAGTTCCCTTTTCTCATCTTGCCTGCCTGCGGCCCACTCTGTCCTTCTTCGCACAGTGTTCTGACTTTCAGCTAGTCTTCCTTGCCAGGGTGTGATTTATGTTCTCGGAGATCTCCTCAGCCTGGGTTGGCCAGTTTTAAGAGATGCCTGACTCTCCTGCCAGCATCTTTAGACTTTTTTGCCAAAGGACCATTCCATTAAAGTGACTGAACCAAGGAGAGATGGGAGACTGTTGGCTGTTATCTACCTGTTCTCCTTCTCCACTCCGAGTGCCTTCCTGGCTGGTATAGAGCCGAGGACCTTGCACGAGCCACAGCGAGCTCGGGACTTGTGCCATCTGAGCCACTGAGAGGGCACTCTCGGAGCAGGAGCTGCTGGTGTCCAATGTGGTACCCAAGCCGCACACACGAGAGTGGGCCGGCCCAGCCTGGCTCTTCTACTGGTAGCCATTGCTTGGAATGAGCACTTAGATTGATGAACTGAATGTTGGGGATTGGATTTGTATACAGCCCCCCCATCTCCCCCCCCCCCCCCCCATATTAAACAGCATAACCAGAGCAATGCCAGGTATGTTGGAGAGGAAACAAACAAGCAAAATCAAAAGATGGGGAAAAACTTAACCACCAATCTCAAGGGCCAAATCTGGGAACTAAAAAAGAGAAGTGCTGAGGAATATGGGTGCTTTTATTTCAGTGGGTTTTGTTGATCTGTGAAGCCAGAATTCCCCACCCCCAATCCCAATATCTTATTAAAGCCAGGCCTTGCCGCCAGTTATGCCTCATATTTCCCTCCTCTGGGAATTTGAACATAATGCCATTTCCCCTTCAATGAGGGGAACATGGACCAGGGTAATTTGAGTGATTAGCCTAATCTGCAGGAAGGCTGCACGTGGAATTAAGTTAAGCACATTTGTACTGAGCAGCCTTGTTTGTCAGGCCACTGTAAGGTAACTTGGTGGTTTTATGCCATTAGCAGAAGTTGAGGGTTCATAGAAGGATCATTGGCTTTTATTACTGACTTAAATGAAAGCTTATTGTTTACATTTGACAAGGGCCTCTGAGAGCTTTCTTTATAGATACCACGTGTGGGGTTATACTATGTGTGGGGTTACTCCAACCCCAGACATTGCCAGGGCTTTGTTCTCATGGCAGTAGGCGGGGCATGGTGACCCAGGGAAATGGTTCCGCAGATGTTTGTCAGGCTGGCCATCCCCTGTGCTCCTCAAGCGGGCTCTGAGAACTCGGGCCTCACGTGTACTTGAATTGGAAGAAGAAGTCCAGGTCCTCCGGTGCCATGGAGACAGGGCAGCTCTCAGCACTTTGTCCCAGCAGTTTGTGGTATGAGCTGGACTCAGACAGTGGTCGGCAAACTCATAAGTCAACAGAGCCAAATATCAACAGTACAACGATTGAAATTTCTTTTGCGAGCCAATTTTTTTTAAACTTAAACTTCTTCTAACGCCACTTCTTCAAAATAGACTCACCCAGGCCGTGATATTTTGTGTCTCATGTGGCTCGCGAGCCGTAGTTTGCCGACCATGGGACGAGGAGAAGGTGTTGTTGCGTCTGGCATGGGGTAGCTTCACTGACCACGTGGAGGTTCAGTGACTGAGCCGACCTGCAGGGTTGTAGATGCTAATACCGCACCTCCTCCCAGACCTCCTAGGCAAGTGGATTTTCCCCTGTGTCAAATGGAGAAGGATGACTTGCTGTATAGCTGGAGGAATTAGGAATAGGGCCAGAATTGTTAAAGCAAATGCAACAAACATACTAACTTCTAAAGCAAATCAGCATGTCATGTTATAAACAAATGTTTACTGTTTTGAATTTATGTTCTTTTGTGCTTTGAAACGGATTCAGGAAGATATCTGCTAGTTGCTATAGTACTGGAAGGACTAAAAAGTGCAGCAAATAAGAAAGCCAGTTCATGTCAGTAATTTACATTTCTTACTCCTTTTCTTACTAGATTTGTCTTCAGCGAAGAGGAAATTTGCAGATTCCTTAAATGAATTTAAGTTTCAGTGCATAGGAGATGCAGAAACAGATGATGAAATGTGTATAGGTAAGTCATAACTGTGCTGTTTATCACAACTTTCATTGTCCTTGCTGAGCCTTTTTCTGAGGATAAGAATCAAAGTGTCATAAATTACAATTATAGTGGAGGCGGTAGAGTTGAGTGAATATCAGGAATTGGGGCTATTCTGGGCTTCTCAGAGCTCTGGGATTGCCTCTCTCACCTTCTGCCTGCAGGTTTGTAGTGGGGCTTTCCTCTCCCCTCCCTTTAGTGTTCAGCTCTGGCTGCTCTTGTGCCATTCTTCCCCACAGCCACAGTGCTAACAACTTTGAGCAAAAGCAGAACACAGGTGGATGAGGGAAGAATTAGATCAGAGGTTTCAAATGCTAGCTCATGGGTTGAGATCAGAATGCTGCCATATTTTCTTTGGCACTCATTTATTTAATTGAATTACCATATAGATAGAATTTATCCTGAAGTTTCCGTTCCCTAAGCTTCTTTGAACATTGGAGAATCTGATCATCTGGCCCCACATTCTGCCTGGCTACAGTCGGCTGGAGCTATATAACTGCTGTTGTCTTCAAATGGGGAGAGGCGCTCAGTGTGTAGTTCGTAATGCTCCCCACCTCTCTCTTATGTTTCTTTAACAAGAGGCTGATGGTGGGGTTACCATGTATCACCTCATTGTGCTGCTTCACTCTTCACCATCACCTGTCTGCCTTTTGTAGGCAACACCGGGCACTGAGGATTTGCAATGCCGGGACACCTTTCTTTGCCAGGGCCTAGTCGTTGCACTTTATTCTTCTTGCATTGGCATCTTGGTTGACTTCATGAAGTGAGCAAGAATTGAGAATGTTATATTGAATCAATTAAGTCATCAAATGCTGATTGAGTTTCTGTTGCCTTGCCGTGCACCAGGATCTGGGGATGAGCACAGGCAGTTGGGAAACATCTGAGAGCCGTGAAAATCCATCATTGTTGTAAATCCTGAATACTTGGATGCTTTCCCCAACATTATACAGATCTTCCACATATCCTCAGGGCTATTGCACTTCATGCCTGTTGCCTTTGGGAGTAATTGTAGCACAAGAGATTCTCCCCATCTGACCAGCATGCTGCAAGCTGTATTGCATTTATAAGTGGCTTGGGGATTCAGGAGGAACCCAAGGAGAAGCCAGGGATGTAGCTTCCAGTGGCAGCAGCACTGTTTGTTTAGTTCTAGTGCCAAAGAAAAGGTTGTGTTCTGACGCAGGCCCACAACAAAGGTTGAGGAGGTCGAATCCTGGACAGGAAATCCTTGAACTCTTAAGCAGAACTCTGCCCCTTCTTGCCTGGGGTCTGGGAGCCAGCCAGCATCTCATCAGTCCTGGGTATTCTCAGGAACTGGCCAGTCTTTTCCTTGAAGGAAATCCTTCCCTAGCTGAAGTGCCAGGTGGCATTAACATGCATTTCTGGGGCATCCTTAATGGTTAATGATTAAAAGATAAGGGGAGCCTTGGGAAACAATTGATTTTAGGCTTCTGCTTGTGCCAAGGGACTTCAGTCCATAACATGATAGGTGTATCTGGAAAGGCTCCTGAATGTCCATTAGTCAACTTCCATCTCACCGCCCCTTTCTCTTTTCCAGCAAGGTCTTTGCAGGAGTTTGCCAGTGTTCTCAGGAATCTTGAAGATGAACGGATACGGATGGTGAGTATTGCTGGGCTACTCTTGGTCCTAGATAGTGTAGTGACATGTAGGAAGCATAGAATTTGTTATCAGAAGAACTGAGTTTGGGTTAAGGCTCTGCTACTTCTGTGCCTTGAGCTCTTGGGAAAGCCTTCTAATCTTTGCAGGGTTTGAAGCCTTCTGTAAAAGATAGGATAAATTACTTGGATAACTTGAGAATGACTTCCTTGCCCTTCTAAAAATTCACTGTAATGTGTATATATATAAGGTATATGACTTCTGGGTATATCTTTACAATGATTTAACTTTTTGAGGACTTAGATTTTTCTATTGGCAGAATGGGAAACCACTCTGCAAATCCCCATACTCCCTTATTAAATTTATCCAAGAGGTCTTGGAGGGCAGGGTCACTCCTTTACTTCTAATTCTGGAGCTCCTAACACAGTGCCTGTCATGTAGAAGGCATCTAGTAAATGGGAACTTAGAAGTGATGGTAGTTCTAAAAAGTTCTTCAAAGAGAGGCACTGTGAAGTTCAAGGACCAAAGGCTGACCTTCAGGCTCTTAAGAGATCTCTTTTGCATTAGAATTTATTCTGATGTGGTTCAGCATTAATAGGTTGAAGGATTCCATATCCACAGGGTATCATATCCCTAAGATATCAGATCTGAGGCTTGGTTTGAAACCCTTGCAGGCTGCACGCTGATTTGTCCTCAGGAGGGCTTCTCTCTGGAAAGTAGTGCTCCAGAGGCCTGCGGAAGTGTCCACTAATGAACATTTTCCTTCTCTTCCCATGCTAACAACTGAAATAGTTTGACACTAAATTTCCTGTCTCGGTCAGCTTGGGCTGCCAAAATACCATAGACCGGGTTGCTTAAACAGCAAAGGTTTATTTCTCATAGTTCTGGAGAATGGGAAATCCAAGATCCAGGGGCTGACTGATGTGGTTCTGGGTGAGGGCTCTCTTCCTGGCTTGCAGATGGCAGCCTTTCTATTGTTTCCTCACAGGGCAGAGAAAGGGTGGGGATGCTCTCTGGTCTCTTTTTATAAGGGCACTAATCCCATCAGAGGAACTCCACCCTCAAGACCTAGTTATCTTCCAAGAGGCCCCATATTCAAGTGTTATCACATAGTGGGTATTAAAAGATAAAGCATATTAAATTTGTAAGAGCTTATGTGAGCAAAAATCAATTCAAATTGGATAGCACCAGCCTGGAAGTAGTGGGAGTGCTCTAGCTGCAGGAGCTTGGGGAAAGAGTTTATGAAGAAATGCAGAAACAAATTATTTAATTGGCTATCGCTTAAATGGTTGCCTTATTTAGGCAAGTCTGGTTGTTTGTGATTACTTATTCTTAGGTTTTGATTTCTTAACCTTGAGGTATTCACAGGCTTAGGTTTTGGGTTGCTGATGTAGGCCACTAAGCATTAGAGCCATGTTGGTCCAATGGCCACTTGCTTAATTAATTTGCTGGGGTAAGGGCTTCAAATCATGAATTGGGGTGAGGATGGAACAGGGATGCAAGTTAGTCCTTAGCACCCACCAAGAAATTATGTAGCCCTATGTTTTCTATTTCAGTCCTCATGATGACTCTGGGAGGTGGTGCCTGTGTCCTTATTGTCTGGATGAAGGTGTTGAGGTTTACAGAGGTTATGCAACATGCCCAGGGTCACACAGTGGCGTGGTCCAGATTCAAACCCAAGCTTATGCTAGGCCAAAGAATGTGGTAGTTTCTTGAAAACTCCAAACAGAGCAGAAGCCTCTCTCACCTTCTGCCCTGCTGCTGTTCTGACACTGTTTTCCTTGAGTGCTCATTGCTGGACGCCTGAGCCAGAATCAGGTGGGGGTGGCAGCAGCAGCAGGGTTGCTGGTGGGTGGAGGCCAGGAAAGCTGTGTTTGTGCACGTGCTAGTGTGTGAGAAAGGGAAATGATTCTTTGGAGTCTGATTCTTGGCCGAGCCAGTATTTGGGGGTGGGTGGTGTGGTGAGCAAATCACGATAATACCCCGCAGATAGCCATGGCCTGCAGCAAGGGAACAATGACTGGATTATTATATTTTTCAGCTTGCCTCTGCACTTTTATTATTTATGTCAGTGAGTCGAGTTTCTACTGTCTGCATCTGAGTCTTTGGCCATCGCAAGCCCCTTCCCTATCTACTCGCCCTATGACAATCTCATCACCAATTCATCTCAGCTTAGCAAAGTTGCATCTTCTTTGGAAAGCCTTCCCTAATGTTCTGGGATATTTTTATTTTCTTAATATCTACTTCATGCCTCTAATTCTGCATTCAGCACATTTTTCTGATGATTGCATGTGTCCCATAGTAAATAGGAGTCCTTGAAGGGCAGAGAGTGGGCTACTGTGTACCTGCTATTAATACAGTGCGTGAAACTGAGTGAAAATTACACAATCATAGAATCATAGACCCAGGTGAACCTTATTTTTCACCTCTGCAGTCCCTCACTGGACAGATTAAAAAGTTGAGGTCTTACAAAGGCCCAGTGGAAGGACTGGGGCAAGGACTTGGGCATCCTGAGTCCCAGGTGATCAGCTACTGCTTTTCTATATTTAGCATTTACTTAGGGCTGGATTGTCAATCATGAATGCCCTTTCGAACAACTTGAGTTTAAGACATACTGATGCGTGGGATGAAGTATAGAGTTTTGATTTAATTGGTTTGAAGTGTGGCCTGGACGTAGAAATATTTAAAAGCTTCCCAAGTGAACCTAATATGCAACTGAAGCTGAGAACCCCTGACTTAGGGGCTCTGATACCATTGTGGGCTTTAGAGACTTATACTTGATTTGTGGAAAAGACTTAAACTGGTGAGCCAACTAAGTCACATCAAATAACAATAAAAATCAAACAAATTAAATGACAGTGAAAAATTCTAGCATTGCTCTTTACTAAAACAAGTGGCTTCAAAATTGAGAAAAAGGCAAATGGCAATAAATTTGGAGATCTGCCACCTTCTATCCTTCACTTTGTTCAGTTAGGTCTCTCTGTGTCCATGTGTGCTTCTGGTATGTGCTCTGTTGGTTTCATTGCAATGGATATGCATGTGATTTAGAAAAATAAAGCTTTGTTCCAATGAGATTCTTGAAATAATTAGTTGAGCAACGAATAAGCAGTGAATGACTTAAGAGGAAAAATTATGAAATATTGTACTGATTTAGAAAAGACCATGGAATCTTAGAGCTGGAACAATCAAGCCCAATTATTTGTAGGCGAGGAAATTGGAGCCCAGAGGTTAAATGTTTTGTCCATGGTCATGTAGTTGGCAGCCAATCAAGAAATCATTAATTCATTCATTGAGCCATTGAAACATATTTGAGTGTTCCTTTGTTTTAGGATTCTTCTGTGTTTTGGGGATGGTGATGGATAAGTGAGCATTTACATGAGGGTGTGTATGTATATGCATACATGAGTTTCCTCTCTGTGTGTGTGTGTGTGTGTGTGTGTGTGTGTGTGTGTGTTGTGTAGTGGTGAACAGAAAATTTTAGCTGACTTTTGCCTTCAAAAGAAAACCCTTGGTGGGCTGTTGGGAAGTTTCTTTGGATTCTATTGGTGTTCATGGAAAGTCTCCCTAAAGAGGTGACCTTGGGACTGAAACTTGAATTGCAGTAGTACTTGAAACTGACAGCATGTCAAGTCAAAGTCTAGTCATCAGTTCAAAACATGGTGTTATTCCCAGGCAGGATTAAAATTGATTGTCCTCATGGGGATTTAATGTCCCTCTTTGCATTTTGCTCTTAACTCAGCAAATCTGAGTTAGAAGAGCTAGAAGTGGGACAGGGGTTTGCTACATTTGAGGTACCTTCCGGTGATGATATAGTTGGAGTGCAGGACCTGAGGAGGTGAGGCTGTGAGATGATATTGAGAGGCAGCCAGGGGCCAGTAGACACTACAAGCATTCTGATCATAGTCCAGTGGTGGTATATAGGTCTATGCAAAGTCCGGCTAGCAGGGTTTCATGCCATCAGATATCAGGTGCTCTATTTGTTTATAATTCAGACTCAGTGTTGATCTGCTTTAAATATATCTGCTTAAATATAACTTGGGTGAATAAGCATTTCCAAGATGTCATTGGAAGCTTGAAATTTAGATCCTACCTTGTCACTAGTTTCCCTCCACCTTCAATTGGTTGCTTACATTTTTAGAGGTCCTAATTTTTCTTTCTAAACAATCCATTTTAATCCTGCCTGGGAATAACACCATGTTTTGAACTGATGACTAGACTTTGACTTGACATGCTGTCAGTTTCAAGTATTGTGAACAGTTACCTCGTGTATGGTGTTGCTCACCCAAACTTTAGGTGGAGACATGGGAGGCATTTTGTGCCAGAACTGCTCTGATTCTTTACTGATTATGCTCTTGTGTCCCCTCCCACCCCCTCACTCCCCTCTGTCCTCATCAGATTGAGAATGCCAGTGACGTGCTCATTACACCCTTGGAGAAGTTTCGGAAGGAGCAGATTGGGGCTGCCAAGGTGAGAAATTTCCAATTCTCCTTCTTGGATTTTAGGGCAGGAGGTCTGGGAAAACACACCTTCTTCAGAAAATCTTGGGCAGATAAGCCTGGAACCTAGTTCTTCACAAGTGTCTGAAAACAGCCTGTGTGCTCATCCCCAGAGCAGTCATTCTAGTATTTTGTTATCTAATCACCTTGCGCTAGTTCATAAATTGTCCAAAGGTAGAAACCATGCCTCCTCTGTGTTAGCAGCTTGATACCGAGTGCTTGGACAGCGGAGGATTGTATTTATTGTGAGGTCCAGGACTCGGAGCCTGGAACATGGGTGACAAATTGGGCCCTGTGGTTGTGGCACGCTGTTCTTTGCTTACTTTGGCTGTGTGTGCAAGTGAGTTCTCTCTCTAGACCTTAAAAATTTTCAAGAGAAACTGAAAAGTCAGAGTTTTATATGAAATAGCCTGGTTTCCAAAAAAAAAAAAAAAAAATGTTGGCAAATAATTAAAAATATATATTACACATTGTGCAGGTCAAAAAGTGGGACTGCTATAGCTCAGAGGCCAACATTTGTTGTCACTGGCTTGGTGGGACTGTAGCCCACACTTGGCTGACTGTTGCATTACTGAAAGACTGCAAAGTGAGTCTTGTTCATTTTTAAGAGGTGGATTCTCCCAGGTTCCCCGCCCTGTGAGAAATCATTAGAAGCCATAGCTAGTTTGACCTTCAGTAGAGTGTTAGAGACCACCTGCAGGGAAGATGTTTTCATTGGAATCAATGAAAGTAGGAAGATTTTCCCAGATTCTTGCTTTTCCAAACTGTGTCCTTTAGCCGCAGTCCCTTGCGCCACCTGCAGGGTGTTTTGGGCAGTGTCGCACTCTGACCTGTTTTATGGATGTGACTCAGTTGTCAAATGGTCTTGAGAGGTGCCTGTAGGTGGGAAATAGCTGAAATGTAAGAAGTGGGGTCTTCTCCCCTTTTCCCCAACCTCAAAGTGCATCTGCTTCTTAAAACTGAATATATCAAGGCCTGAGATGATGCTCAGTTCGGTCATTCTTTGAAGGAAGAACCACGGCAAATATTTTTCTCCCAATTCCACAACACTTTTCTACCAACTTTACAGTTTACATTTATGAAGAAATTGGAGGTTATGGTTTTGTATCAGAGATTAAGGAATGTCTGACTTAAAGGGGATGTCTGTTTCATTAGGATTTTGTCCAAGACGTTGAGCAAACCCAGTGTTCCTGGGGAGTATTCCTCCCATGTCCTCGCTGACGCAGGCCCAGTGAGCAACTTCTCTATAGTGTCTTTGGGGCCTGTGCCTCCCACTCCTGAAAACACGTGGCAGCGGCTCCGGAGGCTCTGAAGAGCTTTGCTGCGGAGGCAGAGCGGACCTGTGCACTGAGTCATCTTTCCAATAGTCACTTCTCGCTCTGAGCACAGACGCCTCTCACTCTGGCCTCTCCCCCCTCGGCGCTGGCTTGAAGGTTATCAGTTAGCACGGGGGAGGAGCGGAAGCCTGTGTGGAGCTCCCCTTGGGTTAATAGCATTGCTCCGAATGACAGGATCAGGTACTTTTCCAGGTTGGGTGGTGAGGGCGGGGGCTTTAATGGTGAGAAATACGAGAATTAAAGATTTTAAGAAAAAATGGCTGCTCACCAAAACACGTTTCTGCGCATACACATTCTATTCTCTCATTCCTGATGAAGAATAATGTGATGATGTTGAGGATGATTGCTCATCGCTCCTCCTGTGTCATTTCTTTCTTTCAGTATGCCTGTTCCTCTCAACCCCTCCATGCATTTCAGAGACAGCGAAGAAACAACAAACCCTGTACCAGGCGATCTAGGGAGCAGGTTTAAGAACAGTTAAGATCTAGCGAAGGCTGTTTAGTGGCTAAGTTCAAGTTTCTGAACTCTGCCTGTGTGATGTTAAAACTACCCCTCCTCCTCTTGTCCCCTTTGGTGCTGCTTCTGTTGCTGTAACAAGCTGTTGCTACTTGCAAGACATTGCAGTTAGAGTGTGGGGTGCGAAGGCTGCTAGGGAGGTGGGCTCCTGGGCTTTCTTGTGCCAGTGTGGCTTCTCAGGTAGTGTGGCTTGCAGCTCGGTGTGACCATGGCCCTACGACATTTAGAGATCTGAGTTTGAGGGAGCTTATTTTCCCTGCAGCCCTAGCTTGCTCGCCAGTGAAAGTAGCATAGACATTGGTGAGCAGTGGTTAGGTGTGGACACTCGAGCTAGGTTGCTTGAGCCCAACTCTCATCCTGCCATTTGTATGTAAACTTGAGGAGGTTACTGCTCCATGCCCATGTCTTGAGCTATTACAATAGTACTTACCTCACAGAGTTATTACAAGGGAGAAAAGTGGGAACTCATATAAAGTGCTTAGAACAGGGTCTGTCACATATTGATGTTAGTTATTATATTTCATATACACAGTTGATTCATTAAAGAAATGAGAGAAAGCCTGCTCTGTGCCTGGCCCTGCGCTATACACTGGCGTCTGGTAGAGAAGAAGCACAGGCATGGTTCTGTGCTTGTGGTGTGCCTGGGGAGAAGGACACCAGGCACAGAGATATAAGTAAGCAGCCTCCAAGTGTGCTATGAAGGGTTACCATCCTGGGACATGGGAAGCAAGTAGCGTTCCCCATAAGAAGGAGGTAGGTTTAGATGCTGGACCTCCCATTGCCATCACCACCACTGCTACCACCTTCTTTGTCAGCATCACTGACATTTAGTACTCACTTTGCATGTGCCTGGTACCCTGCTAAGCATTGTACACGGTTTATCTCATTTAGTCCTAACAATCCGATGAGGAGGTGGGTGTCCTTATCCTTATTTTATTGGCCAGTCTTTGAGCTGAACAAGGAACTTGAGGAATTAGCTCATGTAGTCACCCTCAGTGTACAGATAATATCTAGAATACTACGTCCTGCGGAGGGGCAGTGGTTTGTGGCAGTGGTTTGTTTAGAGTCCGTTCATACAGAGCTGGGACTGTAGGATCCTATTCTGTCCTTCATCCCCTTAGCCACTGCCGTGGATGCCCTGGAAGGTGAACGCCGTCTTGTCCCTGAGTAACTGAGTAATACCACTCTCCCTTCTTAAGAGCATTACGTAAATCTTAGTGTTAATTTCCCCAGAGGTCTTCTTGTTGCGGCTTGGACAGCACCGCGTCTCTTTCTCTTTCGCTTTGGCTATCCTCTTGAACATGGAATGTGGAGGCTCAGGTTGCCAGAAAGTCACGGGATTCCAGTGACTCATGTTCCCAGCCTTTTCTCACCTCTGGTTACTGCACTATCTTGGCACAGGGTTCTCCTGTCTGGGAGATCTGGCAGGGCTGGTGGAGTGGCTAAGTGGGCATTAACCGGGACAGGGAGCTGCAGCTCAGAGTCACTGGTTTCTAAGGAGAAGAGTTGCTTGCGTCAGTGTCTTGCCTGTACCTCTCACATTTGAAGGAGTAATGTCTCCTCGGGCCTTTCTTCATTTGCTTCTGCATGTTTCAATTTTCTTTTAAGCACAATTCAGATTTGTAAAAATGGGTACGTGTCAGTTAAAATTGAATAGATGATCATTCTGCTCCCTTTTTGAGGCCTAGAGATTTTTTGTTCACCAGATAAATGGTGTCTGACATCACAGGAGCTTGTTGGGGCTTCTGGTGACAGCTTCTTGGTGGTTTTTGTGCCGATTACTGCTCTTCTGCTCTAGAAGCCTTCATTTGGCCCCTCACTGTATCAGCAGGTCTCAGCTTCTACCACCCTTCCGCACTGGGTCCCCTTCTGAGCACCCTACCTGCAGAATCTCTGTGACTGAACCCTGTTTAGTTCCTTCCCAGCACTGTGGCAGTCCATGATTATGCTGTTTACTTGTTCAGTGGCTGTGTTTCTTCTTCTGGAGCATCCTCACCATGAGGATAGAGACTGCTGCTGTCTTGTATTTCAATGCCTAAAAGAGCCCAACACAGAGTAGATTCCTGTTATATTGTTATTAAATGAATAGAGATGTCTCTGAGTTTTCTTATTTGGCTGTGAAAATTTTTCATCTGTTAGAGGCCTTAGAATTGCAGAAAAATCCTCTGTGGGCTCCATATACGTCAAAAATAGGAGTAATGCACTGAGTTAGTAAATTTGATCCTGGTTAGCAGGCCAGTGCCAGCCTTCTCCCACCCCCTTTCCCACCCATCCCCAGTGAGTGGGACATAGAAGGAAGAGACACCTGTGACAGTGTGTCTCAAATGTGGTTGAGACGTGGGCTTTGGAGGCAGCTTGTCCTGGGCTCAAATCCCAGCTCTGTCACTCTCTGCAGCTTGTTACAAGTTAATGTCCCTGGGTCTAAGTTTTTCTCGTCTCTAAATGGGAGATAAATATAGAACCTCACTGACTCAAGGATATAGTGGGATAGCAAAGATCATTGTGTATTATGGTATTTATATTATTTTTTATTTTAAAAGCAATTAATATAGACAATAAAAATATCCTGAATGGAGGGCCAAAAGCACACATTATCCCATTGCCTTAACTCAAGTATTATCCCATCTAGTGGTATCTTCCCATCTAATCTTTGTCTGTGTGTGTGTGTGTGTGTGTGTGTGTGTGTGTATGTGTGTATGTATGTATATATATATACATTCAATATAGGATGTACCAAAGTTATATCATGTTATTATTACTTTTCATTGTGTGGTGAGAAATTTTCCATATTACTGCCTTGTCTTCCCAGTTGTACATGTTGGATGTTCTTTCCCAGTTGTATATGTTGGATGTTCTATTCTTGAATTATAGCAAATCCTAACCTTGGGCAGCAATGTTACTGCCACTGTTGCGCGCGCGCGCTCTCTCTCTCTCTCTCTCTCTCTCTCTCTCTCTCTCTCTCTCTCTGTCTCTCTGTCTCTCTGTCTCTCTGTCTCTCTCTCCTGTGATTAATGATGCTGCAGTGGACACATTTGTGGAGATAATGCCTTCTTGGTTTTGACTTATTCCTTAGCGTACATACCTGATTGTGATATTATTGCATCAAGGGATATTTGGGTTTCTACAATAAGTACTTTTTGAACACTATTAAAGCTGGATCTCTGTCAGTCTAGACTTGTCCCATTTAAGCTGTAAGTAGATCTTCTACTTTGAGATTATCTTCATAGGTAACTTCCCTCATTCATTTGGCTTTGAACTTCCTTGTGAGTTAGAAACTAGAAATTTCTGTTTCACAATTGAAGTTCTTAGACTGTGGAGTCCTGGCCTTGTCTCTATGAAATTCTGGTGTTTACCTTGTTTCTGGCACTGTGGCATTGCCTCAATGATAGACACTCAAAGCTGTCAGGCTGTTGATGGGCGGTTGCTTGAGTTAATGGGTACTATTTGAAGAGGAGGAGCAGGGTTGTCTGCTGTTGTTTTGTGTCTGAGGGAATAATGAAGCCATGAAGATGAGCAGAAAGATTGACCCAGCTTGCTTTTGTTCATGCAACATTTTAATCTTTTTCTCTTTCTACCAGGAAGCCAAAAAGAAGTATGACAAGGAGACAGAGAAGTATTGTGGAATCTTAGAAAAACACTTGAATTTGTCTTCCAAAAAGAAAGAATCTCAGCTTCAGGAGGTAAGAAATTTTACTAGAATTCTGAATAAACTGTTTAATTTTACATGGTGCTGTGGATATGTACTGGTTACTCTTTGTCAGAAAGTCCTAGGTTTGGAAGAGACCTCAGAAACCGATGCCTGGTTGGCCTTTATATCATCCTACCCACACACTCCCTTGGTGGCTGTCCAGCCTGTCAGGGCCAGAGGAACATGCTGCTGGTCAAGATTACCCTCTTCCTTGTTGGGGAGCTCTACTCACTAGAATGTGCTTCTGCTTAAACTGAAGTCTCTTTCTTGTTTCCCCCTTGACCTTGATTCTATACTCTATTACATCACCTTTGACTTTCTGCCTTATATTAGTGATTTGAAATGTTAGCATCTGAATTGCTTTGGTCATCCTTCTATAATATTAATATTAATTTAAAAAAATCTATTTCAATGAGTACTTTTCTTTCTTTCTTTCTTTCTTTCTTTCTTTCTTTCTTTCTTTCTTTTATATTTTCTTTCTTTCTAACCCTTCTTTATTACTACTTGTTTGGTTTGTGGTTTGGTAACCTTGTTTGAAAAAAGTCAGTTCTCTGACCTGCCCCTAGACTTTTTGGATTTGCATGGGGTCTTTTAAAAAAATAGTTGACTTGGAAAGAAAAGCCAGTTTGCAGCCCTGGCACAGTGACCATGTTTATTTTGTTCATAGAGGTTTACGTGGCAGGGGAGTTTGCATTTCTGGGAGATAGTCATAGTGAAACTCCAAATCTGGCTAAATGAATGTCATTTTATTTAACTCTTAACAATTTGCTGACCCTTCTCAAGTAACCTAAAGAGTACCTATGATTTTTAAGCTAGCCCTCTTTCTTAAATTTCCTTTTTTTTTGTGGAGTGCCAGTACTTTTTTGAAGTGAAAGTTCATATGAAGATGGTAGGGTCAAAAGTTGAAAGATGAAGACAACTCAGGAGACACTGGAGTTTGATCCATTCCCAATCAGGATTTGTTAGACATCCTTGGTTAGGAATGTGTGGTTTGCAGGACTCCTTGCTTGGGTATTTAAACCAATTGTTTGAATGACAATGAGAACTCAGCACCATCTCCAGCCACTGGTGTTTATAGTAGACTTTGAAGACCAGTTCTGGCCAACCAACCAATAGCAACTGAGTAATTGTTGCAAACTGTAAAAGCAAATGAATGAGGAGGTGATTCTTTTTTTTTTAATATGCATTTTTTTTTTTTTTTTTTTTTTTTTTTTTTTACGGAGAGGAAGGGAGAGGGATAGAGAGATAGAAACATCGATGAGAGAGAAACATTGATCAGCTGCCTCCTGTACAAAATCAGCTGCCTCTTGCACACCCCATACTGGGAATGTGCCCACAACCAACGTACATGCCCTTGACCAGAATCGAACCTGGGACCTTTCAGTCTGCAGGCCGACACTCTATCCACTGAGCCAAACAGGTTAGGGTGAGGAGGTAATTCTTAAATAGCACATCTATTTGATGGAGAAAGCTAAAGAAATGCTTATTTTCATTGCATGTTATATAAATGCTATTCACAACTCCATGTGGGGATATGGGCACTTATACCCTAAGACAGTGGTCAGCAAACTCATTCATTAGTCAACAGAGCCAAATATCAACAATACAAAGACTGAAAAAAATTTTTGAGAGCCAAATTTTTTAAACTTAAACTTCTTCTAACATCACTTCTTTAAAATAGACTTGCCCAGGCCGTGGTATTTTGTGGAAGAGCCACACTCAAAGGGCTAAAGAGCTGCATGTGGCTCATGAGCCATAGTTTGCTGGCCACGGCCCTAGATAAGTGATTATACAGGATAAATATATAGTTCCACTTAGGTTCTGTCCTGGAATAAGTACTCATCTCTCTGAGCTGTAGTCCCTTTGTAAAATACTCATAAAATACCTATCTTGCCTACTTCATGCATGAGAAGACAAATTATAGCTGCTACACAAATACAGAGAATTATCCCTATGACTGACCTGTATTTCACCCCCCTTTTCCAAATAGAATGCTAATTTCTTTTTAAATGTTTTTAAAAAATTGATTTTAGAGAAGGAAGAAAAAGCGAGGTTGGGGGTAGAGATACACTGATCAATTGCCTCCTTTATGCTCCCTGACTAGGGATTGAAATCTGCAACCTATTGTAGGTATGTGCCCTGACCTGGAATTGAACCTTCAATCTTCTGGTGTGTAGGATGACCATCCAACCAACTGAGTCACACTGGTCAGGCTGGATGGTGCTCCACTTGACTGCCCTCATCTATTAGAGCTGCTATAACAGAATACCATGGCCTGGATGGCTTTTAAGCAACATAAATTTGTTTCTCTCCATTCGGGAGGTTGGGAAGTCCAAGATTATGGTTCTGGCAGATTTGGTGTCTGGGAGGCCTGCTTCCTGGTTTACAGAAAGCTGTTTTCCTGCTATGGCCTTACATGGTACGAAGGGGTAAGGGAGTTCTCCAGGTCTCTCTTTAAAAAAAAAAAAATTATTGATTTTTTTTACAGAGAGGAAGGGAGAGGGATAGAGACTTAGAAACATCAATGAGAGAGAAACACGGACCAGTTGCCTCCTGCACACCCCCCACTGGGGATGTGCCCTTGACCGGTATCGAACTTGGGACCCTTCAGTCCGTAGGCCGACGCTCTATCCACTGAACCTAACCGATTTCAGCTCCAGGTCTCTTTTTTAAGGGCAGTAATCTCATTCATGAGGACTTCACTGCATGACGTAGTCACCCTAAAGCTCCACCTCCAGATGCCATCACATTGGGATTAGGTTTCACATATGAATTGATGGGGAAGGGCACCAGCACTCAGTCTGTAGCATAGGCTTTGCCAGTATATATCTTCATGGATATTTTTTCATTATGCTCTTTGTTACTGTTTGTGTTCTTGTCTGTTACCCTTTTATACCTCCTGAGTAAACTGAGGGCAAGGGGTGAGCTAAAGATCTTTCTTGTGAGCCCTGACCAAGGCAAATGTTGAATGCATATTCATGTATCAGGTACTGTGTTGAGCATTTTACATGGACTCTTTTCAACTCCTCATAGCCACTCTATGTGGTACAGATTTATTCCCATTATTTTACATGTAACAAAATGGAGGCAGTGAGTTGTGTACTAGTCTGCCCGTAGTTGGTCAGCGAGGATTTGAACTCTGGCTCCTGACTGTGAAGCCCTTTACCTTAACCCAGTAAGCTCTTCTGCATCTCTCTCTCTCTCTGTGTGTGTGTCTTAGGAGAGAGGGATGGTGCTCTATTGCCTACCTGCCATGGTCATTAACATGTGTCAAGCATCTAGAACTGGCCAGATGAAGGGACCTTGCTGGTCATCTGGTTGAGCCTCCTGAACTTACCTTTGAAGGAACTGAGCTTCTTGTAGAAGTCAAGTGGTTTGCTCAAGGTCTTCCAGCTATTTAGTGATACTAAATGTTTATTTAAAAAATCAATTTTTAGGATCATTATTAAACACCTAATACACATTTGATTATCCAGAACTGTTCCCTGATTACAAGGCTCTGAAACCGATACTTATAAATGCTAGCCCATCCCTAGCCCTGGTAGGTGAAATTATAGGGCAGCAATGTGGAATGACACTGCTGCCATCTAGTGGATGACTTTTTAAAAAAATCAGTGTATTCTTTAGTGGTTCAGAAGCTACTTCAAAGACAATATTTGTTCAATAGATATTCATTGCACACTTCTGTGAAAGTCTGTTCAGGCATTGGGTATATTGTGGCGTTGAAATTTGCGACCTGCCTTCATGGAACTTACCTTCTAGGAGAATGTCTCTTTTCCAGGAAGCACAGAATGGTTTGGTGGGTCTCAGACAAACTGGTAGATTTAGTTTCTCAAGCAGCAGGGAAGACTTGAGTGGCTTGCTGGGTGGGTTGGAATTCTGGCTTATGATTCCATTGCAGGGGGAGCTAAGGATGTGGTGAATTCTTTGGCTCAGATGAGTGGGGGCATTGGCAGGAAACAAATACCATTCCATTTAGGATTTTTCTTCCTTTTCCTTTGGAATCACATTCAGTTACCTGTCTGTTCTGAGAGTGGGTTCCTGAGGGCCACATAGAGATCAATTCAGTCATTCCTCAGGTGTCTGCTAAATGCTTTACTATGGGTCAGGCACCCTCAGAGGACTGGGACAGAAAAGTAGAAAAATAAGACAAGGTCTTTGCTCTTATGACTTTATATTCCAGTAATCAGTAGTACACAAGGAAAGAGGAATAAATAATAGTGTTACATAGTAATAAGGAAATAAAGTGGGAGAGAAGATGGAGGCTCCCTGAGGAACCCATTTAAAATAATGTCCTCAACAAAGGCTGCTCTGAATAGGTAACACTTGAATGGAGACCAGAAGGATGAGAAGGAGTGAGCTAAGGGAAAAGTTGGGGTAGTGGTCCATAATTGTGGAACCTGAATGACTGGGTCATAAAATAGAGTAGAGTAGACTGGGACAGAATGAAAAATATGGAAGTATTTTGTATTTAATTATAAATGTACTAGAGGCCCTACGCATGAAATTTGTACAAGAGTAGGCCTTCCTTCCCCTGGCTGCCGGCACTGGCTTCTCTCTGGCACCCGGGACCTGGGCTTCCCTCTGGCTGCCAGTAGGCACCTGGAACCCGGGCTTCTCTTGTAGCCTGGGTTTGTCTGGAAGGTCATCTGGAAGGATGTCTGGTCTAATTAGCATATTATGCTTTTATTATTATAGGTATTTATTAGCTATAATGCCAAAGGTATTTCTTATTGTGACTGTAGTTTAAAAAAAAAAGGATATTTATCTAGGGGAAGAGCTTTTCAGGCAGAAGGGACACCAAGTGCAAAAGTTTTGAGACAAGACTGAGATTTGGAGTGCTGGAGAACAGCGAGGAGCCCAGAGTGGCTGGAGCACAGAGAAGGTGGGTTGGGGTGGGAGGAGGTGAAGTGGGACGGTTGGGCAGGTCACACTGGGTCTTGCAGACCATGGTGAAGGCTAGAGAAAGGCATTGAAGGGGCTGTGAAAACATCTGATTAGATTTTAGGGAAGGTATTCTGGATTGGAAGGGGAGGGAAGGATTGAGAATGAAAGCAGGGAGAACAGTTAGGAGAGGAATGTAACTGCCTGAGATCATGTGGCTGGTTTAGGGTAGGAGTAGGGATAGAAAGAAACCCATCTATTCTGATGTCCCTGCTGATAATACCATAACAGAACTCCTTCCTAGTTTTCAAATTGTTTGCATCCTTTAGCTTAGGGGTGTTGAACTCAATCAGAGAAGGGGCCAAAATCTAAAATCCAGCCTAAATCGCGGGCCGAATGGTTTACTGAACAGTCATAAACTGTCATTGTGATGGAAACGCAGCGGAGTGCAGTGATGACAGTGCGGTGCGGGCCACATTGCAAGGCCTGGCGGGACGGATTTGGCCCGCGGGCCTTGTGTTTGACACATGTGCCATTTTATCTTTGAAATGGCTCTGCTCAGAGCAAGGGCAGATATTTTCATTTCCACCGTCCCGGTGTGGGGAAAAGACCCGGAGAGCCACGGACTTGAGCTGGTCTCACCAGCTAGACAAGGATAGAGCTGCAGCTTCAACCCAGGCGTTTGTTCTGCCGGCTCTCAGAGCCTGATGCTGGGCGCTGCTGTTTTTCTCAGAGGACTTTTCTTCTGGCTCCTTCATCCTGCCTGACTGCGGGAGGCACTTTGCCGATTGTCAGAATGATCCTTTTCACAGTTGCAGTCTCAGTTGGCCGAGAGGACAGCAGGGAAGTCAGTGTAGGGAGGCAGTACTGTCTAGTGGTTCAAAGACAATCAAGAGCCTTGGAGGCACATCAACCAGGACAGAAGTCCCAGCTCTGCCCTGTACTTCATTTTCCTCTTGTAAATTAGAGGTAAAGATAACATCTTCTTTTTAGGAATTTCATGAGTATTAAATAACTGTAATTAATGAGGTTTGAATAAGGTAACATATGTATAGGTATGGGCACAGCGCCTGGCACAAAGTTAAGTGCTCAGCTAACCATTACCATTATTCTTATTTCTGTTTGATTTGTTTTTAAAGGCTATCCTCAGAGATTTTTCTGGCCTGCTTGTTGAATGTTCTCCTTAGGAGGTAACTTGATTTTTCTCTGAAATTCCACCCTATTTATAGGCAGACAGTCAAGTGGACCTGGTCCGGCAGCATTTCTATGAAGTATCCCTGGAGTATGTCTTCAAGGTTCAGGAAGTCCAAGAGAGGAAGATGTTTGAGTTCGTGGAGCCTGTAAGTAGATGCTTACATCCCCATCCCTTATTCCAACTACTTTGGTGGCAAACGATCTAAGCTATTGATGAAGAAGTTGCCCAAGCCCCGATGCTGGGCCTTCTGGTAAAGAACAGAGCTTTCTCAGTCTGGCCTCCCTGGGTTTTTCCTGTGGTCATTCCCATACAACCCCAGGTACGGTGGTAGTGCATTCTTCTAGTTGCCCTGGGTGGTCCTGACTGGTTTGCCAGTGGAATTAGTGACAATAAGGGAGGAGTGGAGTTTTCATCTTGCCAATCAATAGTGATTACATTTTCCTCCTCCCTCCCCCCTTCCTGTTTCCCTCAAATAATCCAAAGGTAGTAGTAACCCAGGAAATGGGAGAATGTACAGACCTTTCTCTTTTCCCTCCTGAGTTCAAAGCACCTCTTCATCCCACTGATACATTAAATGATGCTTTATAGTGTGATTTCGCACTCTGTTTGTTATAACCAGAGTCACTGGGTGCACTGTGATGGGATTTACACTTGGGCAGTGTCTCCGTGGCCATGAAAGGTTGTAGTGTGGGAACAAGTCTGGCTCTGGTTTAGGCCACTCCATCATGGTTGTAGTTACATGCATGAAGCTGCCCCACCCCACTCTGGCACTGTTCAGAAGGCTTCATAGAAACACCAGAAGATCATAAGGGTCTCAACTCAAAACTCTTTCAGATCTTGCATTTTTCATTCAAAATGCAACTTCTCATTTAGACCCAAGCCTGGGATCTCTATCCACATAAGATTCTTATTGACCTAGAGTTAAGAAAGAGTAATTCTCTTAAGCAAATAAGAATAAAACGGTAAGAAATGGAAAGAAAATGACTATTTTTTTTTAAAAGTAAAGAGTGTTTTGCACCCCGTGTCTAATTTATAAACTTTTGGGATGCTTTTTAGGCATGTAGACTTGCTGATAGTTTTTTCAAGGCTCCAGATGGCTTTGGAATTTGATGCTGACATCTTTTACTATACTGGAATTTCACTCGTGGTCTCCATGTCTGGCAAAGTTTTAAAAATCCTTAATTACTTCAATCTTCTTATCTGAATATTGGAAACTTTAGAGCCAGCTTCCTATCTACTGTGTTTCCCCGAAAATAAGACATTTTCTGAAAATAAGACCTAGTGCAACTTTGGGAGAAAGAATTAATATAAGACTGTCTTATTTTCGGGGAAACAGGGTAGCAGTGGTCTCTGCCACAAGTGGGGTGTGCCATGTAGGAGAAGCCATCTGTCAGAGAAAGCGAGCTTGTTGGTTTCCCTGCTTAGGGCACAGAGGTGTGAAAGCCAGGCTTTCAACTGGTGGTTTCCCCGAAGATGGTTTCCTGTGGTTGTTTCCTGTGGTCGGCAGGAATGAAAATGCTGTCTCAGAATTTTCCTTTGGCATTTTTCTTTGCTTTTACTAGAATTTCTAGTGGGGGGGGGGGGGGGGGAAGTATGTTATGTATACTATGCTGATTAATATTACTTTATAATTGCCTAATTTGGAGAAGTTGCATTTTAATTGGCCCATCCTACATTTTTGAGCTTAGTGTTTATGTCCACTTTTGTCTCCCAATAGGTATTCCTAGTGAATCAGATATTGTATCTTTTAGCCACTGTTGTTTGATAAATAACCACAGAAACCTCATATAAGAATAGGCATTTATTTTTATATCTCTGTAGAGTTCATCCAATCTAGGCTAGGCTTAGCTGGGTGAATCTGCTGATTTAGGTGGGCTTTCCTCCTCTTTCTCCTTCTTCTCCTTCTCTTCTTCCTTTTCCTGTTTGTCTCTCCCTCCCCCAAGAAATCTATAAGGTTTTATCCTCCTATGTACTGGCATTCTGCTGTAGTATGTCAGTTCTTGAGTTTTTTGAGAGGCAGTATAGCATCATTGTTAAGCGCTCTAGAGCCAGACTACCTAGATTTAAATTTCAACTCAGCCATTTTCTAGCTGTGTCTTCTTCTGGGAAGTTATTTATTCCTCTGAGCCTCAGTTCTCTTATCTGCAAAATGGGTAAATGATACCACCTTAATCATATAAAGATGTTATGAGGATTAACTGAGGTTGTCCATGTAAGATGCTTAGAACAACCGAAACTGGTTTGGCTCAGTGGATAGAGTGTCGGTCTGTGGACTGAAAGGTTCCAGGTTCAATTCCGGTCAAAGGCATGTACATTGGTTGCAGGCACATTCCCGGTGGGGGTATGTGTAGGAGGCAGCTGGTTGATGTTTCTCTCTCATCGATGTTTCTAGCTCTCTATCCCTCTCTCTTCCTCTCTGTAAAAGATCAATAAAATATGTTTTTAAAAAAGATTAGAACAGAGCTAACCTAATTAGCACACAATTTTATGTATTTATTGTATAATTGTTAATTAGCATATCATTATTTATTTATTTTTATTTTAAAAAATAAATTTTAATTTCAAAAAGGAAGGAAAAGGGAGAGAGAGATGGGAATATCAATGATGAGAATCATTGATTAGCTGTCTCCTACATGCCCCCTACTGAGGATTGAGCCTGCCAACCGGATATATGCCCTTGACTGGAATTGAAACCAGAACCCTTTAGTCCCCAGGCTGATGCTCTACCACTGAGCCAAATTAGCTAGGGCATTATTAGTTCATTGTTTTTTAGTAAATCTAAAAGCATTTACTTATTGATTACCATACAAAATGCTGAAGACCCAGCAGCTGTATGTGAAGAGCTCTCAGCCTCACTGGGGAAACAAGATGCATACAGAAGAGGGATTGCCAAGGCAGCAGGCAGTTTAGTGCCAGGTTGGACAGGATGGATGGTAGAGAAGTGCCAGAACAGTTGAAAGAGTAGAAAACCATTGTGATTTGCAGATGTTCCTTAAGTCGTAAAGGTGAGGCACCTGGAAACCTAATGAAAAAATAATAATTTTGGTCTCATGTTAGATTGAAGAGACTTGCCCACATTAAATTAAATGAGAGGCTAGGCATAGGATGCAGACATTGACCTTCACTTTTCTACAGGAGTTCCCGTTTGTGAGTACACCAGCTTCCAGACAGGCCAGTGGTTTCAGGAGCTGCGGAGAAGAGGGGGAAAAGACTCATGGAAGGAAAATGCCGCTGGCAAGATTAGTGGTCCTCAGAGTTTTAGAAATACAAATTCTCAGGCTCCACCCAAGCCCCAAATTGGCAGGTGGGGCCCAATAATCTGTATTTCAGTAAGAACTTTAGGTGATTCTGCTGCATATTAAAGTTTGAGCCACTGGCCTACATTGTACAAAAAAACACGAAATAACAATTGATACTGGCTGAAACTGGGTGTCCTGTGCCGGTATCACATACATTACCTACATTTGAATCCAGTCCTTATAATATCTGGGAGGGTAGGTGCTATTTTTATATCTGTCTTCAGATGAAGGAATGGAAGCACATTTATTTACTTTTTCAAGGTCACAGTTAGTAAATGGGTTGGTATTTATAGTTTGATTGGTTGCAATAAAAGGATTCTTCTAACCACTCAAGGAGCTCCCGTGCCCATTGACTATGCTCATTTGTTTCTTAGATAGTAACTTCACATACCAGGATGTTATTGACCTTCGGAAAACAGAAACATAATTTTAGTGTTCCAAGGAAGAAAAATCAGACTTTTGGGGTCTGATCTATACATACATCTTTTTGTGTGTGTGCATCCTGGACGCCTTCAGTTTCTTGTTGAGGTACTAAATGTTCTGGACATTTGGATCACAGATTATGATGTACTGACCTTATGAAGGTGAAGCCCTGTTCCATCTGTTCCCCAAGTTTTCATAATTGAAGGTTACCCAGTGCCACAGAGAACTCATTCTCACATGTCAGACGCTGCCTCCTCTTGATTTCCATCTCCTGAGTGTTCTCGTGCTGTGTCTTCTATCGTTTCTCACTGCTCCTGCCCCTTGGCAGGTCTTTGTTCTTTTTCTTTGGTCTGAGGCATCCTGTCTGTTCCCCCTTCTCCAGTCTGGCCTGGACGCTGTTAGCACAGTGCATCTTCTAACACATCAGTGTGATTATCTCTCTTTCTGAACAGCTCCTGCTGGCACTCGTGTGCTAATCTAAGCCCATTTCATAGATGATCTCAGTGTGTACACAGCCCAGTGTAGGTAGCATTATTGTTCTCCTGTAAAAGATGAGCTAAAGACAGTTATATGACCTACCCAGCCCAGCTTTTCATCATACTTCTGTCTGTCCTTTGTTGTATGAATGAATGCTTTTTGGCAGCTATAGTAGTTTGCTGGGTTTCCTGTAGACAGGTACTATAACCAGGTATCTTAGAGCAACAGAAATGCAATGCCTCATAGTATAAAAGGAAAGAAGTCTAAGGTCAAGGTGTTGATAGGGCATGTTCCCTCTGAAACCTGCAGGGAAATGATCCTTGCTTTCCTCTTCCCAGTTTCTGGTGGTTTGTTTGCAGTATTCGTCATTCCTCAAATTGAAGATTCATCTGTCCTATCCCTCATCTTCCCTGTGAGTTTCTGTGTCCAATTTCTCTGTGTCCCTTTTGTAAGGATACCAGTCCTTTTAGATTAAGGCCCAATGGCTTCATTTTAACTTGATTACCTCTGTAAGGACCCCGTTTCTAAATGAAATCACATTTTGAGGTGTGGCACTTAGGACTTAAACATATCTTTTGGTGGAGGGGCAGGATTATAGGGGGTGGGGACACAATTTAACCCATCACAGTAGCTCTATTCTATGAATGGAAACAACCTAAAGTTATCAGATAGTCCAGCATGATGCAGCCCACTAAAATAAAGGAGTTACATTTTTGCTTACTTAAAAATAAATAAATTAGATCAATGTTGTCAGCTAGGAATGTTTTGTTTTTTTTAAACAGGTATTTCCTGAGGAACACAACAATGGAGGTGCAGGCAAAGGGAGGTGGGGAAGGTCTTGGTTGTGCTGTGACTATTCAGGGAGGGGCCTGGGTGGCCGTACTGGCTTCTTTTGTCTGACAAGCAGGTGAGGCTGCAGCAAGCTCTTCCTCTGTGTGTTTGAGTAGAAACATTTCTTTGAGGCAGACAGATCTTTCCATCTCTGGAGTCCTTCTCCGGGCCTTGCCTGGCACCTCCAGGAATGGACTTTCATTTCCCACTGGGTAACAGGTTCAAGGTTCATACAGTTTGTGGGAAGGGTATGTCAGCAGGTTGGGTAAAGAGAAAAGATGCTACACGGGGGAGAAAGAAGGGGAAATGGGCCAAAGGTAGCAGTGTCTAAGGAATCACTTTCCATAGAAAAATGGATGATCAGGCATGATACCAAAGGAAGTGAAAACCAAAATAAATATAGGTAACTCTGCCTTTGGAGCACTTTCGTGTGTGCCCAGGTGGCATCTTAGTGAGCTGTTTGAGATATTTAATTGCTCTGCGCAAGAAAGGCTTTGTTGACTTTAAGGGAAGGATAAATCAGAGCTAATAGGAGGAATGACCTTAGAACTAGCTGCTTATCTTCTGTTTATTCTCCTGTAGGGAATAGTTCAGTGCTTTGGAAAAGTGATGGGCACAGCATTCAAGGACAGCAGGGAGGGAAGAGCTAGAACAGTTTTCATTGTGAAAACTGACACTAGGTTTGTCATCTGAGCCCCTTCTTGTATATTACTGGAGCCATCTAGAAGGAGAAGTATGGGCCTTCTCAAAAAAGTATTCTATCCAATACATAGAGTAAGTCCTAAGGCTAGGTCATCCTCGAAGCAAGCGTTTATCGTTAGTCTTTGGTGACTCTATGTACCTTACCGCCCATTCATTGACTTAGGTTAAGGATCTGTCTGTGGTGCCACTAGATGATTTTTTTTCTTACAGCCAGAGGATCCAGCAATGCCTGCTCCCCCTCCTTCCATGAGGATCTCAGGGGGTGGGTGATGCAGGGGCGGTGGCAGTGGAGAGTCAAGGTACCACATCGTTGTAAGCTGGATTTTGTCTGACTTCTTGTACAGAGATCTTTGGTAAACTGGGCTGGGCCTGTGGCTCAGCCCAAAGACAGGTCTTTCCTCTGATCTCAGTTAGCGTTGCACATACCTTGGTGCGTTCCATTTCTGTCACAAGCATGGTGGGAGAGTAGTAGTGTGGAATGAGTCCCCCCATTATTAGGGCTGACTCTCAGAAAAGGAGACTTAGGTGAACATAAGTGAGACCACAGTTAATAGGTAAAGGTATCTTCATTTAGGGACAGAAAAACTAAACACAACATAAAGTAAAGCAGCTGTGTCTGATGTAACATGGTAGAGGCAGATCAGAGAGGTCAGAGTGGACCATTTAGAACATGTGAGTCGGCATTGAAGTTCCAGTTAGAACAGGTATGGTCCCTAAATTCAGTAAAACAGAGCCTAGGATAGAGTGAAGTTCTGGTTCTTCTAAACCTTGTTCAAGCTCTGACTGTAATCCTTTTTCAGATTGAGATTTGGAACTGAGGCCAGATGCGTGGAACTCGGGGAGGGCCCAGGGCAGCCTTGAGGCTTGCACTTAGGCCCAGAAAAAAGACTGAAGGGACGTTTATTCCACTGGAGAAGGGAAGGCTGGCAGGGGCATTAATGTCCAGCCAAGGACATTAATAGTTTTTTAAGTATATGAAGGTCTCTTATAAGAATTTTAGTGGACAGATGTTTGCACTCTTCACTAAAGACAAGATTAAACAAAGAATGGGTTTACCTTTAGCCCAAGGCAAATTTAAATGAGAATTTAGGGAAACCTTCGTACCTGAAAATGTGGGAACATGGGGGTATTTTAATAAAGGAATCCATAGTGCTTACTTCTCAATAGTTGAGGGAAAGCTTAGAAGCACACTTGAGCTAAAGTCTGACCTGGATGATTTTTTTTGATTTGACTTTGCCTGTTAGACTTCAGACTCAGAATCTACCAACTTCCTTTTCTTTTTTTCTTGTTGGTTATCAATGTAACCATACACTTCTGCACAGTAACCTGATATTACAAACATATTAGAAGACTAACTTGGAGCTCTGGTCTTCACTTTTCTGACGAAATGTTTATCTTAAGAAGTGGTGAGGCTCACAGGGTAAGAGCTTGGGTATTGGTGTCAAGGAGATCTGGCTTCAAATTCTGGCTGCCATTTACTGTGTGTTTTGGGGCAAGTTACTTGACCTCTCTGAGTCTACCTCCTCATTATGAAAATGAAGACAACAGTGGTATGTACCTAATAGGTTGCTGTGAGTGCTCCGTGAGACAGTGCATATAAAGTTACTGTTTCTGGAGTACAAATAGTGCTCAGTAAGTGATAGCCATTTTATTACTTTTATTCTAGATTTTCAACCAGGGTTGGGAACTCAGATACAACTACATAATAACCTCTTTTGCCTACATATATGGTGAACTCTGCCTTTCCACCTCATTGCAGCTACTGGCGTTCTTGCAAGGACTTTTCACTTTCTATCACCACGGTTATGAACTGGCCAAGGATTTCAGCGACTTCAAGATGCAGCTGACCATTAGCATACAGAATGTGAGTGGGCAAAGGGACAGACTTCCCTTCCTTGGTTAAGGAAAGGAAAAAACACGTTATGGTTCTGGTTGCATAGAGAGCACTTATCTGGGATGGAATGCAGGTAAGGGGGTGGGGGTGGGTCTTGCTTGGTTCAAAGGGCAGATGGGGGCAAGTTTTTCTAGGGTCTTGGTGGCCACAGATTAGAACATCATCCTATTCTCTATTATTTCAAAGCACTATTTATGTTTTCGGAAGTGCTGCTGCTGATTATGTTTTAAATCTGTAGCACCAGAGTCAGGATTTCCTTTGGCAGTGGAAGGCCCAGCCCAGCTCAGCCCAACCCAGCCCTGCCCTGCCAAGCCCCCTTCTGTGCATCTAGCTGCCTGGCCACAGGGTGTGTGTGTGTGTGTGTGTGTGTGTGTGTGTGTGTGTGTAGGAGAGGGGGTGGGGCACACATGCTGACCTCCAGCTCAAAGGATGTGCTCTTGTTCAACTCTTAGTAATGCTGAGAGGAAATCCAAGTCAGTGTGGTTTACACAGTGAGGCCTCTTGGTGCTCAGAATCCTGCCCAAGGCTCTTTGGTTAGCAGTTCCTGGGGCCCGAGCCCCCTTCTTAATTACGTCTGACCATATTAGTATCTACATTATCTTTGTCTCTAGAGGATCCTATGGAGAAAAGAAACCAAATGCATCCATGTGGGTTGTATTGCATGGCTTTTGGAAGCCTGCAGCTCACTGGCAGGAAGTTGCAGAGTCTGGGAAAAGGTTTCACAAAGCATGGCTTCCCCTTTGGCTGGCTTCCTCAGAGGGCCAACGGAAGTGGAGATTTACACGTAGCAGGTTTACAGGGAGCAGTGTTGGCAGAAATACTTGTGAGGGAGTGAAGTTCCTGCAGGAGAGGTTGAGCTGAGATGCAGTTGAGGCAGAGGCCTCAGTCTGTGCTCTGGGTGCCCTGGAGTAGGGATGGACTTTGGAGCCATGAGAATAGAAGCAAGGGGATCTTCCCTTTTTGTCCCCAGACTAGTCATTGGGTGGGTACAGGCTGCCCTGGGGAAGGGAGTATCCCTCAGTGAGGCAGCTCCCTTTGGAGGAGGAAACCATCTGAGATATCAGCCACCAACATTGGCTGTAGCTGGAGGATGAGCCCCTCAGGCCTGAGGGGAGCTGGGGGCATGCTCTCCTGTGGAGCAGAATCACCTTGGATACTCATTTCAAATACACATATCTGGGTCCACAGGTACTCATTTCATCTTTAGGAGTGAGGCCTGGGCATTTACATTTACTCCAAGTTCCTTACGTGATTTTGATGGTCCTTACAGTTTGAGAGACAATCTGGTAGAGGACCTTACGGCTAAAGCATACTTCTTGAATATTTGCCTAATTCTTAGATGGCTGACTTTAGAACTAAATTATCTGATTTTTAGATATAAGAATTCTATTGGTAGAGGTTCTGAATTGCTAGAGGTGGGGATAGGGTTTTATTTCTTTGACTTGAATATAATTCCTTTCATCCTAGACAAGAAATCGCTTTGAAGGCACCAGGTCAGAAGTGGAATCACTGATGAAAAAAATGAAGGAGAATCCCCTTGAGCACAAGACCATCAGTCCCTACACCATGGAAGGGTACCTCTACGTTCAGGAGAAACGTGAGTGCCTGTGGCGACCAACAGCTTGGGGTGTGCTCATGCTTTTTGCCCACAAGGTGAAGGGTGTGTCTGGTGGTGCCTGGCCAAAACTTTTGAAAACACAGGTTTGGGTGAATGAGAGTATTTTCCTAGTTCAGATTCCTAGGGGAAGGGTGGTGTCCACAAGTCTTGTCTACAGCCAAGGGACATGTTCTGTTTTCTTTGTAACTGGAATGCAGTGAGGTTCCACCGTGCTTCTTTTCTCCCTCATGTCTCTCTACTCTTGAGGTGCCTGTCCCCTTAGTTTAGCTTTAAACACCATACCTTTGGCATGGAGGACTTGGGAAAATCTTGCCTGGTAGACCTAACTGTCCATTAGCAATCATATCCTTTGGTGGACTTACAATTTAGTGATTTTGTTTTCATTTGAAACTTGTTTCAGCAAGGCCCAAACAACCATGGGGCTTTCCCTCTTCTCCTCAAGTCATACCAACACTTACATTTTATGATAAATAGAAACAAGAGCTCATTCCCAGAGCCAGGAAGAAGACTCATCATTGCTTTACTGGTGTGATGCCAGGAAAGAAATGCCAGGTGCTGGGACATGGAGTTTTCAGTAATGACTCTCAAATTCATGCCCTACGCCTAGAGGAAGGCTTTATGACTGAAGGGGCTGTGCACTCCCAGGCTTGATTCATGCAAGCAATACTAGGGGGAAAAGATAGCAGATTGTTTTCTTTAAAGAATAGCTTTTCTCATAGTCTCCTACTCCTGCTTTTTTGGCTGGACATATTACTTCTCCCAGATTTTTCCCGGTTTTGTGCTTTTATGTCCTTCTGTTGATTTTGGGTTATACAAACATCTTCATCCTGGAAGCTTCCTGATGGAGCAGAAGTAGAACACTTGGTTTCAGTGATTATTCTGTTCAGTGATTACTAAACATTTGCATGCGTTTAAAATTGTTCCCTGTGGACAATAGGGGGAGTAGTGTGGTTGGAAGTTGGAGCATTGGTTGTGATTAGAACTTCATGTCCCTTGTTCTTATAGGGACGAGCTTGTTGAGGTTTGCAGGAAACAAGCTACTTTAGTTCTGTGTTTCATATATACCTGATGTAAGGGGATGCCTTGTTTGCCCAGTGAGATCTATTCCCTCCGAATTTAAGGTGAACTTGAAAATATAAATTCTTAGGACCACAAAAATACAGTCCAATGTCTACTTATAATGCTTAATTTATTAATATTCACTTACATAGGTAAAATTAGTATTGAATTTTGCACGCTCACATTACGTTGTACAGTTTTATTCAAACACTTCACGTGCTCTTTCAGCATTAATGTCTTGATTATCATTGGTTCCATGTTTTATTTCTCTAACACAGTAGCCCAGAGCATATCATTGGGATAAATCTTTATTTTTTCTTAGAAAGTTTTTGTAACATTATTTGAAGTAATGCAAAACTTAAAGAAGGTTTCAAGAATACTGTAGAGAACAACTGTATGACCTTTACCTGGATGCATGAATTTTTATCATTTCCCCGTAGTAGGTACATACACAATTTTAGTTTTTTCTGAACCATTTGAGAACAGGTTGCATATACCATGCTCTTTTACTTCAGCGTATGTTTTCTAAAAATAAGGATATTCTTTTATGTAACCATAGTTATCATATGCAGGAAATTTAACATTGATAAGATAATTAATATAAATGACACTGTCTATTCTAATTTGTCAGTTGTCCCCATATAAATACCCTTACACAGCATTTGTTTTTCTCCAGGGCAGGAGCTCATACTGTGGGTAGTTGTTATGACTTTAGTCTCCTTTATCTGTATAGCTTCCTCAGCTTTTCTTTGTCTTTTATGACATGACATTTTTGAAGAATATATGTAATTCTTCAGTGTGAGTTCAGCTAATGTTTCCTCAAGATTAGATTCAGATTATGTGTCCCTGGTTATCTCCTACGCAGGTAACACTGTGTTCTCCTCTGTGGCCATTTGCCCTTCAGTGGTGATGTAAATTTTGATCACCTATTCGAGGTACTGTCTGGTTTCTTCCCTGTACAGTCACTATTTTTCCCTTGTAACTAATTAGCAATCTGTGGAGAAATAGTTTAATATCCCCACCCCTGTCCCCCATAGACTCAGCTTGCACTGAAAATTCTACCTGAACTGATCTTTACTATAATGGTTGCAAAATGGTGATTTCTCAGCTCTCCCACTCATCCACATTTATCAGTTGCCATTTAGTATATTGTAAGGAAGTGTCCTCACTTTGCCTGCATCTCTCTCTCTTTCTCTCTCTCTCACTCTCTCCTTCCTTTTGTCTTTCCCTCCCCCCTTCCTCCTTTTCATCTTTATTATCTATCCACCCACCCACGCACGCACCCACCCACCCATCCATCCATCCATCCATCTATCCATCTGCCCATTCACCCCTCTATCTTTCTATTATCAGTATGGATTCATGGATTCCCATTTATTTATAGGCTAAATTCATTACTGTCCTTATTCGTTTTGATGTTCAAATTGTCCAAGATACAAGCAACTTTGGAATCTTGGTGTTGTGCTATCACTGAATTTTTTTTTTTTTCTTGAAGCCACAAAAGGAGACATTAGAATGGTTGGTATTTTCATTTGATTCTGATGTTCTAATGCAGACACTTTATCATAATGCTTTTTAAATTTACTAAGTAATCTCCAACACTTATAATGGTCAGTCACACCCTGAAAAACAATGATTAAATGTCTGCAGAATCTCTATTCATATTATAATTATTTTTTTCACAACTTCTATGTGATTCTGTAAGCATCTAAGACCAGTATTGGCAAAGGTCCTTGTAGGCTAAAAAAAATAATAAGCACTGGGTAAAATCAGAGACTTAGACTTTGAAGGGGGTGGGCATCTCCATCTTTCCTGAGGGATAATTTTGAGGGAGAGTCCTTAGTTTACATTTGGGCACTTACAGTTTCTTCCATTCTGTATCTCTGAGGTCTCTGTATTTTCTTTCTGCTTCTCAGTCTTCTTGAATTCTGCTAAAGTGGAAATTAGGGGCTTGGAAGTAGGTCAGAATCTCCTGTCTGTCTGTGCACATAGTCGCAGAGCAGCTGTGTGGGAAACATGAAGTCATTGCAGCAGATGGGAGCAGTGACAAGCTCTTTGAGGAGCCTTTCTGTGTTCTTTCCTGAATCATCTTACTGCTGTCAGGGGAGAGACAGAAAACTTCAAGTGGAGATTGATGATGGGAAAGTGAATTAATTTCCCCAGGGAACCTCTACTTCCCTTACATTTTTAAGACCCATTGGATGTAACATTTAGTGGGAAACAGTCTTCCTTGGTCTCTGAGGAAAGCCTGTCTAAGCTCCATTTCCAGCCCGTGGGATCAGATTTCTGCCTGTTCCAGTCTAGCTGGTGTGGGGAATATAGTGCACCTAAAAACAAGTTAAGGGTAGGTGAACATTGTGGGTTACAGGTTGTATGTCTCCCCGACACACAGTGGACATATGTAGTTTTTTTTATGGAAAATATTACTTTGCAGGTCACTTTGGAACTTCTTGGGTGAAGCACTACTGTACATATCAGCGGGATTCCAAACAGATCACCATGGTACCATTTGACCAAAAGTCAGGAGGAAAGGGGGTGAGTTAATTTTTTTTAATTTCACACTTGATTTGCTTGACTAACAAATAACGATAATGCTTGTATAAAGTAGAACCTCCAATATTCCACTCTAATTTTCTTAGTTTTTATACAGTAGTTCCAGGAGGCATAGTATCCTAAACAGTAACTTATACAAAATTAGTCTTAGCTCCAAGTTATATTAGAAATTACAACCAAGAAAGATTCTTGGATTTCACATATATGCAGGATTAAGTTGTCAAATGTGTTTAGAGGCTAGAAATTCTTGGGTGACCTCACCCTGTGAAACGGATTTACATAATTCTCACTTGATACTCACAGGGCTGCCATTTGGCAGCTTAGATGTTCCAGTTATCTGTTGCTGTGTAACGTTCACTTCCAAACTGAGCAACTTTTAAAACAACACCAATCTTCCTGGCATTTTTCACAGTTTCTGTGGGTCAGGAATTTGCTGAGCATTTGGTTGGGTGGTTTGGGCTCAGGATTTTTCTTGGGGCTCCAATCAGATGGTGACTCCAGCTGGAACAATAAACACCTGAAACAGCTCAAGGCCAGAGAGAATAGGGGAGAATAGCCCCCTCCCTGCCACGACCTCCTTCTTCTCTTCCCTCTCTTTCTCTGGAGTCTCAGGGCCTGTCTATCTGATCTATCTATGTGGCATATTTGGGCTTCCTCACAGCATGGTGGCCACTAGGAAGCTAAATGTTTAAAGAGTGAATATTCCAGTAATGAAAACATAGACTGCATTGCTTTTAAATGACCTACTCTTAGAAGTCATATTACCTTACTTTTGTTCTATGTTTGTTTGTTTTAAAAATATATTTTTATTGATTTCAGAGAGGAAGGAAGAGGGAGAGAGAGATAGAAACATCAGTGATGAAAGAGTCATTGATTGGTTGTCTTCAGCATGACCCCACTGGGAACTGAGCCCACAACCCGGGCATGTGCCCTTGACTGGAATCGAACCTGGGACCCTTTAGTCTGCAGGCTGATGCTCTATCCATTGAGCCAAACTGGGTAGGGCTGTCCTGTGTTTTTTTTTTTTTTTTTAAGCAGTCACAAAAGCCCACCCAAACCACCCAAAATCAGTGGGAGAGGATGCAGACACTGCCTTTCAGTGGGAGAAGGAGTATCAGAGTCACACTATATGAAGACTGGGTGGGCTGGAGGATGTTCCTGCGGCCACATTTGGAATTCAGGCTGCATCAAGCTCCTTGGTTGGGAGTTCCTTGTTGTTCTCCAAGGGTTCTCCTTTCCTCGGTAATCACATTTCCCTTTTATGTGATCTGTCTTTTATCTCTGGTGAGAGAGACTTCCCTGCATCCTGCAGTGTGAGAGGAGGTTCCTTTCTGCAGGAGGTGTGCAGCAGCCCAAAGCTAACCTTATTCCTTCCCTCATTTGACATATTTCATTATTTCCCCACAGCGCTCAGCATACAGACCACAATCTGCCTGATCTTTCGGCTGCATTCCTCAAACTCTTTCTCATTCCACTTTTCCTCTTGCTCAGGAATTCTAGCCATACTAGTTTCCCTCAGTTCTTTTAGGGAGCTAAGGACTGACCACAGGTTTTTTCCCACTTGCTCTTCTTCATCCCCAAGGCTGGTCTTATCGCATGAATCCTTCAAGTCCAAGCCTAGGAAAACCTTTGCTGACCTTCTTGATCAGGTCAAATCTCCTTAATTTAGGCTTTTGTAATACAACTTAGTTTTTGTCACTTCTAACTTTTCATTTATCTGTTTAAGTGATTATTGTCTGCATCTCCCACTTTTTTAAACCATAGGCAGTGAACAGATTGTCTTTATATATTTTTCTTGATATGATATAGCCATTCTTGGAACAGAATCTTCTGTTTTCTTATATTTGACAATATTTTATATTTTCCTTGTTCCCTCCCATTTACCAGGGACACTTCTCTATAAGCTTTCAAAGTAGAAGCTGTTCCATGTTCATTCAATTTGAAGTATAGTCAGACATCAACATAGTCAGAATCCCTTGTGTTTGGGCGTTTACACTCATACATTCACAGTGTTGAAGGAGCAGTTCTCAATCTGAGAACTTAATCTTAGCTATTCAGTAAAACCCAATAGATGTAAGGCTGTGAATATAAACTATCTCTTCCAAGGTCTTCTGTGTTTTGTGTACTTTTTGGATATTAGTGCGAGGTTAGTTTTACCATATGCAGTCACATTTCCTATTATTTCAACAAACTAGGCAAGTTTACTAACTTCCTCCCTAGTTTAGAACAAGAAAGATTGGGACATGCAGGAGAAACAGGATCTTTAACAAACTCCTACATGAGAGAAAGAGAAGAAATTAGTGCTATATGATAAAACCATAGCATTTCATTTGTGCAATGGAGTACTACTCAGCAATAAAAATAAATAAACTCTTGGTTTGCACAACATGAATGAGTTGCAAAAGGATCATGCTGAGTGAAAGAAGTCAGACATAAAAGGGCATTCCATTTCTGTAAAGTTATAGAATACTAGAGGCCCTATGAACAAAGTTTGTAAAAGGGGGTTGGCCCTTGCAGCCACATTTGCCTCAGCCTTCACAGCCCCAGCTGCCTCAGGAAGCTTTGGCTACATCTGGAAGTTCGTCTGGACGGTTGTTCGGCTGTTCGGTTTAATTAGCATATTAGCTCTTTGTTATATAGGATGCAAACTTGCCTATAGTGACAGAAAGCACATTCAATGTTTTCGCGGTACAGAGGTGGATTACAAAGGAACAGCAGGAGTCTTTTGAGGATGATGGGTATATTCATTAGCTTGATTGTGGTTATGATTTCACAGATGTATACAGGCATCAAAACTCATAAAACTGATCACATTAAATGTGTGCAGTTTATTACACATTAGTTATATCTCAATATATCTGTTAAAACATTTGTTGAGTGCCTATTCTAGTCCAAGGCCTGCTTAGGCTCTGGGGATACAAGAGTAAGCAAAAGCAGACACAGTCCCTTTCCTCAAGGAGCTTAGAGTCCAATGAAGAGAGATATGTCATTTGAGTAATTGCTTGTATCCATGGGAAATTTCAGCTGTGATCAGTGCTCTGAGGGAGGGAGAGGCACACGGTGCTGTGTGAACTGGTGTAAGGGTATTTGACTTTCCTGAGAAGTGACAACTGAACCAAGACCCAAGAAGTTCAGAGTTGGGAGGAAACCTCAAGGTCATTTTGTTTCGACTCATGTAAAATCTACAGGTTAAGCCTACTTAAAATAATATCAACAAGAATTTAATGTAATATGAGTTGATGCTGGACTATCATGATCTACCAGTACTGAAGACATTTGACTTCAAGTAGAAGATGCTTGACAAATTTTAGCCACCTGAGAAGGTTTATGATCAACTGTTTACCTCCTGTGTTCATGAACATTCAGGTTTGAGAAGAGGAAATGATCAGTCCTGTCCATGTTTGTTCTGGAGGGAAGCAGAGCCCATAATCTGGCCTCATTTTGATAGTCTGTGTTTTCGTAACAGGGAGAAGACGAGTCGATCATTCTCAAATCCTGCATCCGACGGAAAACAGACTCTATTGAGAAGAGGTTTTGCTTTGACGTAGAAGCAGTAGACAGGTGAGTAGCTGTCACACTTTTCCCAGGAACAAATACTACTGAATTTGGATATCGTATCTTTTTCCATTCAGTCAAAACTTCCTGTTTTCCTTCTCCACCTTTTAATATTCATTTGGGAATAGACTCCGGCTTGTTGCTGATTTTTAAGGATCCATGTTACCTCCTCACATTTTTTGGTTCAGCACTGAGCTGTTGGTTGGTTGGTTTTATTTTAGTGTAAAGGTTCCTTGTCTTAGGAATGTGTGTTTTGTCTCAGGAGGTTGAATAGATGTTTAAATAAAACTGACTCTTTAACATGACTGTATCAGCTATTGAGATTTGTTTACTTTAAAGAAATGTTTACTTTTTTAAATTCAATAAAATGATTCAAAAGGAATTGCATAAAGAGAAGGGCAGGGAGACATTTTCCTCAATTAAAAAGAAAGTCAGCTTTTAGTTACAGCTTTTCACCTACCCCTGTGTGAGGGTGTATGTGTGTGCGTGTGCACGCGCACGCGCGCGCTCGTGCTTGCCCACCCAGGGACAATAGCAACCCACTTGTGAAATCACAGTCTTTGAGAGAGAACTTTGTGTTTTATTCCTCAAGATTTATAGTGTCTCATTAAGTCGTACCATTTCATGGTGTTAAGCTAGTTTGACAACATTCCAATTTTTAGAGACACTTTCCTTGGCAACAGGTTAATTCTTTCAAAGAAAGCCATGTGCTCAGCTTATTTGAGCTATCTGTTTAAGATTAGCAGTGCTATCAGGAAGATCCTTAAATCCCGGCATGATTCTCCTGTAATGCCACTTGATTTCTCCCCTTTATTAAATGAAAAAGCCACACCATTTTTGATAAGCCAGTACTTTCCCCCTCCTTGAGACGTTCCCTATGGCCACTTAGCTCCAGCTCTAGAGGATCCAGAAATGGAGTACCTCCTGGGGTGTGCCCCTCTGCGTGTGGCAGGTGTGGGACTCCTTCTGGTACCAGGATGTGTGTCTGCACTGTGGCTGCTGGAGGCTGCTGGAGCTCCCAGGCAGGGAACATGCCCTTTTGGCCTAAGTGAGAAGTTCATGGAAATAACTGTGTCTCTTTAGCAGTTTAGTCATTACAACTATGGCTCTCTAGTCCAACAACCTGGATCTAAATTTTGACTTTGTTCAGAGGCCATGTGAACTTGGGCAAATTACTTAATCTTTCTGGGGCCTTGATTTCCTTATCTGGAAAATTAAGATGAAATAGTACCTAGTTCCTAGAATTGTGAAGAATTAGGAAGAAAATGCATATAAAAATACTTAGCAGAATGGTAAATAATAAATGCTCAACAAGTATTAGCTGTTGTCATTATTACTAGAGGCCCAGTGAATGGGTAGGGTCCCTAGGTCTAGCCTATGATCAGGGCTATCTTCCGCCTGCTTTCTAGTCCCCAGTCCTGCCCCACTGCCGCCCATCCCAGTTCCCAGTGGTTCCCTCTTCACCATGATCCAAGCCTATGGGCCTGGGGGAGGGACCAAGAGGTCTGCCTTCCACCTGCTTGCCAGTCCTCAGCCCCGTCTCACCACCACCCTGGTTCCCCGTAGTTCCCCATTGGCCATCCAGTGATCAGAGCCTACAGGCTGCGGGGAGGGACCAAGAGGTGGTCAATACACCTCATAGCGACTGGTCGATAGGTTGTTCCGATCGTTATGCTTCTTATGGTCCCTGGTCTTTTATATAGGGTTATTATTAATCCTTCCCCGAGGATATTGTTCCATTAATTTTTAAAGAGAGTGCAAGGGAGGGGGGTAGAGGGAGACAGAGGGAGAGAGAGAGAGGGTGAGAAACATCAATGTGTGAGAGAGATACATCAGTTGGTTGCACTGGGACTAGCAGTCAAACCCTCGACCTTTGGCACTGAGGTCGATGCTTTAACCATTTAGCACCACTCACTGGCCAGGGTAGCTGTTATTATTTATTGTTAAGTAACTAGACTCTAAATGCAAGAGAAATATATGCAATTTGTAGAGAAAAGAAAGTAGCCTTTCACCATGCTTGGTATATGAGAGGGGAAGGTAGTGGAGAAGGGTTGTATGGAGGGGTACCTTAAGTTGGGGTAGCCCAGGGGGATTGTAAAAAGTGCGTGTCAAGTTAAAATTGCTTATTCTTGATTTTAAATAAATCTTAAACCAAGTTGCTTTAAGCACTTGTAGACATCTTTCTTCTCAGTTCTAAAGTGGGGGATTCATATTGTTGACCTCCATGAAAGAAGTTAAGACAATGTGTCTGTTTGGAAGTGGGGCCACTTGTTTGGTGCTGGTCAGATGTATAGTCCCTAGAGATTGTCGTTTCTCTGCATGGCTGTTTGGGAGAGAACATGCCTTGCATGGTAGCTCTCTATGAGACAGAGTGCAAACTTAGTGATGTTTTTTGACGCTGAATTGTTTTCTGTGCTTTCTCCTTCAGATGTTTCCCAGAAGTTGTTGACTGTTGCTTTTTAGGCAGTTAAAACTCTCCATTTCTACCTTTGTCAACATTTCATACCACCTCCCCCCTTTACTGTGCCCATAAAAGCTTTGCAAATCCCAATTATAATCCGAGAGCAGACGTGTCACATTCAGCATTCTGAGTGGATTTGGGAAGTTGATTTCTTCTAAGTTGCTGCCTCTTTTCCTTTGGCATGAATTGAGGGGTACAGAATAAAGCTGCTAAATCTCCTCTTAATAAGCAGGATGTGTGTACATGGTTCTGTTGTAGTACTTGTAATTTTTATTTTCCATATAGTTTGGTGTTTTGACACCTTAAATACCTTTCTGAATAGGGAGAGACTGCCCCTTCCAGGGCTAGCACTTCTAATAGGTAGCAAGGGGCATTTCAAGATTTATATTTTTATATTGGCTAATTGAATAAAGACTAAATTTATCATTTTTCCCCCCTGAAAGTATCTCAACTCTTTTGGAGAGAGGTTAGTGTAAAATTCCTGAATGAAAAGGAGACTTCATCTGTGGGGAGGACCACTTCGCAAATTATATGATTGTCTAACTACTTTGCTATACACCTGAAATTAATATAAAATAATATTGAATGTCAACTGTTATTGAAAAATAAAAATAAAAAAATGGACTTCGTGGAAAAGTAGCATGTGAATTAGCGGTAGTGGCCTGTGAATTGCTAATACTTGGCAGCGTCTGTCTTCAGTCACTTTAAATGATTAACTTTCCCATGCAGCATCTCATGGATATTAATGAGCAAATGTAAGGAAAATATTTAAGCTAAAGGATCCTGGTGGTAGTCATCTCCTAGTATTCCTGGATTGGTTTATTTTTAAGAGATTTCTCACAGATGCTAAGTAACACATGGTTGTTTTCTCCCAGATGTTTTCCAGGAGGGGTCACTAAACTGTATGGAAAATAATGGGAAAAAAGCCTTATTTTTTGAGGCACCGAATCAATGTAGCTCCTAAGGGGTTGTGTTTATTCTTGTGGAAAGGAAACGATTAGAATGCTTTCTTGTTTACAGGACTAGTTACCTCCAATGGTCCATACATTTGGAGATATTATTTGGAGTGTTCAAGGCTCCTTCCCCAGCATTGGCACTCCAGAAGTGGCAGCAAAGGTACTTGGAATCTTAGAGGGGACCTAGGTACTTGGTGCTAGGGGTGTAATGGAGACCAAGACAAGCATAGTCCTTGCCTTCAGGGAATTTATCTCTGAGAATAGAATGCACATACACACACTCATGTAATTAAAGGCATATACTCTGTGTGTGTGTGTGTATACATACATACACACACACACACACACACACACACAGTATATATATATATATATATATATATATATATATATATATATATATATATAGAGAGAGAGAGAGAGAGAGAGAGAGAGAGAGAGAGAGAGAGAGAGTGTTGAGCAAATTTGGAGGACCAGAATGCTATGGGGAAAATGCAACAGAGGGACCTTACCTTTCATTCTTACAGAGAATGATGGCATGACTAGAATACCCTGAGTTCATTTCCTCTCTTTCCCTCCTTCCCTCATTTATTTAGCATCATTATATGCCAGAGACTTTACCAACAATGGAGATGTAAAGTTTAATGAAGCACTATGAATCTATTGGACTTTGTTTCTTAAAAGTCATCATCTGATTTTTCTTTCAAATCAAATATGAAGTCTTCCTTTTGCAAGCTTTCCACTAATATAGGGACAGCTGTCCTCTGGACCAGTCCCAGTGAGGCATGACATACCCACTGTCACCTCATTTCTTATCTTCCCACCATGTCCTGTGTTTGCATAGTGTGCGAACTTTTCTTTGTTTTCATAGTATGCAAACTTTTCTTTTCAGTTGGTTGGCTGGTTGTATAATTAGGCATGTTTTATATACCTCTGTTCATTTTTGAATATCTGTTTCCAGTAATTTCCTTCCAGACGCAGAGTAACATCATGTTATACAGCTTTAATACAGCATGGTGTGCATGTGACTATTTAATTTATTTTTCTAAGGTAATGCAATGTTTGAGTTACATTATTTTCCCGTTGGGACTTCAGTGAACTGTTGTGAAAGAGACTACAGGAGCTTAATCATGTTAGTTGCTATTTAAACTAAAACTTCAGCAAATACACATATGGTCTGCATGTCTGTATAGCACACCCCCCCCCCCCCCCCCAGGAAAATGGAAGATTGGTTAAAATAAGGATAGTGGAGTATAGAAAGATTATGGAGGATCTGAAAAACCTATTTAAACCTTCTAATATGTCACCACCTTTATTTCAAGTATGTTTTTATAGCAGGTTGCATGATGCAGGTAAAAGATTGAAGCAGCCCTGAATTTGAATTTGGGATCATCCCCTTACTATGTGAATTTGGGCAGGTGGTTAAATCATATCAACATGTTAGAAGGGGCTTATCATACCTATCTTGCAGACTTGTTCTAAAGATGGAATGCATTAATATTTACTCCAGATACAGTTTTGTTTTGGAAAAGATTGTGCCTTTGGATTTTTTTCTCTCCCCTAAAACCTGGGACTTCATTGTCCTTATG